GTAGGTACGGATGCTAGAGGAAATAATCATGTGTGTGGGGGATAGGGTAAGAATAGCATTGCCTTTTATTTAAAGAGTAGAAAACAGTTAATTTGGGGAACTTGATTATTACTCTAAAAGCGATTTAGTATAAAATGGTTCGCTTAGCTACCAGGCACATAATAGTGCTGGGTGAATTATACCAGACCCTGAATAGGTGATAAATGAAACTCTGACCCACTGATCAGTGGCACAGGGCTCCCAGGTGCTTGTGCCCTTCACCTTCCGGGTGTCTGCAGTTGCTCACTGACTGTAACTTCTGTTTGAGTAATAGGCTCATTCCACTGTCAGTTTAAACTGTCCAGGCTGCGCGAACGACGCTTGGCATGCCACACCCCAGCTCTTGATCCCTTCACTTCTGCTTCCTCTATATTTGGCTACCTCAGGATAACTGTTGAGGAGCATTATTGTCTTAACTTAATAGAAATAAAACATTTGAAAAAGAAAGACATATTTTTCGAGCAATAGACGCATTCTCCCTGCAAAGACAGCATAGCCCTGCATATTGGAGACAGACAAAATCAACTAGAAAATTCAGGCAGACAAAACTTGCTTTCATAGCTGATTGAATGATTGAACAATATTAGTTTAGGAGGGAAAATGTAAAGCCACAAGTTTGGTTTCAAATAGTTTTGGGGAAGGAAAGAGTACATCTTGTTCCCCCAAATAATCTGATTTTTAAAAAATAAAAACTTGATCAGTTTCCTGAGAAGGATGATGCCAGGATTCTTGTTATCTGCAATGCTTTCAACAATACAGAAGAAAACTGTCTTTGTTAACATTTAGAAAGCTTTCCAAGATGTGTTTTATTTCCCAGTTGAAATAATATTTAGAGATTCAAAAATGTGAAGCATTGATAGTATCAGCAATATTTTTATCCTTTTCCCTAAAAAAAAGCTCAGTGCCTTTCCTGAAGAACTGGTTTTAATATTTTATTTTTAAAATTAAATATCATGTTTAAAAAAATATCATCAGAGTAGCTAATTTAATAAATGAAAGGAAAAATTTAGTAAAACAAACTAGTGTTTTACTCTTCCAGTAATGTTTGATCATTTCCTCCAGTACACACAGTGGAGACAGCAGGCCAGCCAAGCAACCCAGTGGGTTTCCCCACCTTCTATCCCCTTGGCCTCTGGGGTGCTGAATCCCTTTCTCCCTTCAGTAAAAACCTGGTTCATCTCCCCCTTGTTCCAGAACCTCCCACCTCCCAGGTTTGCTTCCGTTCCTGGCTGGAGCTTGGTTGAGTGCTGGAGTGGGGCTGTAGGGAGCAGGGGCGTATTCTGCCATATCCAGGAGGAGGGTGTCACATGAGAGGGGCAGTAGCTTGGTTCTGGAATGTAAGGCTGATGAGGGTGGCAGGTGCACCCCGAGGTCCCCAGGGATGGCAATGGCTTGAGGGGTGGAAATTTATTAGGAGTCTTAGTTAGGTTATTTAGGTCAGTATTTACAGTTAAATAACCTCCCTAACTGGCCTGGGAAGGTAAGCTTCCTTTATGGGATGAGTTCTATGGAGCAAACATGCTTTGGATTGGCTCACAAACTTCTTTTGTATCAGTTTATACCTCTGCCTCTCCCTGCACCAGCCTCTTTGGGACCAGCACCTTCAGCGAACAGTCATGCAGGTGAGTGAACTGGACGGGAGCCTGGACACTTTGCCCCTCTGTTTGCAACATCCTGTCCGGGACTGGGGTGTTGCCCCTCATATTGTAGTGTTGTCCCCACACCCCCCGCACCCACGCCTCGGAGCTGCTGTTCTGTGCAGCTCCTATCCATGCAGTCCCCAGGGGGCAGAAAGCACATCCTTGCTCTCTCCTGAGCCAGACCACCTTTCCAGATCACTGTTTATACTTTGGCCTAAGCCAGTGTCCCTTTTGTCTTATCTGGAGCCTCAGAAAGGGTCTGTCTGCCTCTGTTCCTGCCACCATCCTCCTCACCCTTCCACTCTCCTGCTGCCGTCAGAGTGGTAATTCAGAGTGTGCATCTGTGCGGCACAGCCTGGGGCTCTCTGCTGCACCTTGTGTTCAGTCACCATCCTGTTACCTGGCACCCACACCAGTGGGGCTCCTGGGGGCAGCAACAGGCCTGCATCTTCATGCCTGGGCACAGGAGGTGCTCAAACAGGGTTTGCTGAATGAATATATGTGAGCCTTTTCCTAGGCTGGGGGGCATCTGCATTTTTTGGTACTTATCTAATTGTGTGTATGTGTAGTGAATAAGTTGTGGGACTAGTGGGAGTTGCCAACTTGGCTGAAATCCCTTTGGTGTCACAAGTATAGATTCAAAAAAGTGTTTTTGAGGTGAAATTCACACAAAAGAATAAACCATTTGAAAGTGAAAGTGACATTTAACAGTCATGATGTTGGGCAACCACCATCTCTATCTAGTTGCAGGATATTTTCATCACCCAAGAGGAAACCCCATACCCATGAAGCCCCGGCTCCTCACTGCAGCCGGAGGTGAACGCAGCTGAAGGTTTGGTTTGGCTAGGCTAGGACGTGAAATCTGATCTGGGTCTCTCCCACCATATACTGACTAATCGTTGTTTCCAGAGAGTTCACCTGGAGTGGGTATACTCCTTGGCTTCTCAGCGGCTTCAGTGCCTCTGTGACTTGGAGCATAGTTCTGATGGAAGTGAGAGTTTCAGTTGTGGACTTGAACTTGGCTGGGAATATGTATCTTGCTGGCAGCTAGTTTTATAGGCAGACAAATGCCACAAACCTGGTTGGCTTTATAAACAGCTGTATCATGACTCAGATAGTTTTAAAAGCTAATCTTTATTCGAAGTGATAGGAGAAAATTCAGCCCTATAAGAATTATGTCCTGGTTAATTAAGATCTCTGACGTACTTCACAACTAGCCTTAGATTTGGGTTATAATCTATGTAACTATAAGTTTAATTTTTTTGCTGACCTGATTTCCTCAACTATAAAAATAAGTGGATTTAAATCTCTCTGGGCCTCCTCAATCCCAGCTAGACTACTTAGATCTTTAGTCTTATCTGTTGTAAAAACATACTGTCCTCATTATAGAAAATTACCAAAATAAATAAAGGGAAAAAAGGCAGAGGTGGCCCCACTGATTAAAGACAACCACAGCTAATGTTTTGGTATACACCTTTAATATAGATTTTAAAAGGCATTGTACAAATAACACATGACTACATACTGATTATAAAAGATCCAAATACTATAAAGGAGGGTTAGTAGTAAAAAATGAAAGGTGCCCACCATTATCCTTTGCCCCTGAGACAGCCTTCCTGTTGGTCTTTGACAGATTTGAATCCTTTGCCAAGTCTTTAGACAGGTAGGCAGAGGAGTTACATTTTCCTTTTAGCATAATTGGGATAATTCTAGGCTTCCTGTTTTGTGACCATTTTTTTTTTTTAACAGTCCTTTTGGGAATTCTTTCCTTGGTAGTTCATCAGTTTTATTATTTTCTTTTTAATGGCTGAATGTTATTCTTAAAATAGATATACCATAATTTAATAATATCTTTCTTGATGAACATTTAAGTTGTTTCCAAGTGGTCAGCATTTTAAATATGCTGTAGTCATCAACCTTGGATGTACGTACCATATGCGTGGATGTTTCTGGAGGATGTTCCTGTGAGTGTCATGGCTGGATCCAAGAAAATGCCTGTGTTAAATCCCACTGCTGAACCACCCTCCACAAAGACCATTCCTCAAAGGACGTAATGTCTCTAATAATCTCAGAAGAGTTCTTTTCTCCATACCCTGGTCAACACCAGATTCATCTTGTAAAACTTCCCCATTATTTATGTTAAAAAATGACATTTTAATTGTTAATTGTATAATTTTAGATGAGGTAGAACAGCTTTTCATGCATCTTATATTCTAATTTTTTCCTGTGAACTGTATACCCCTGTCCTTAGCCCATTTCCTTCTGATTGTTGGTATTATAGATTTGCAGTGTTCTTTATGAATCACAGTTATCAATCTTATGTTGGTTATATATGTCGCACTGTATTTTCTCTTACATCACCACTCATCTTTTACTTCTCTTTAGTGTATTTTGCAATACCAGATTCTAAACTTTTTATGTATTTTCTTTCCCCCACCTCTGTATTTTAAAAATGTAATTGTGCTGCTATTCATTTATAGAGTTATATTTAGTATTATCTCTCCAAGATGGATTCCTGGAAATGGAACCATTTGACGAAAAGGCAAAGTATATTAAGGCTCTTGGCTGTGGGCTGCCACAACCTACAGGGGCTCCATCGTAGCTCCCCGAGGGCAGGCACGAAAGGGGTGGTGACCTGCCTGGTACCTGCGTGTTTCCCTTGAGTGCTCTCAGGCTGGTTTCTAGTCCTTACCTTGAGGGCCCAGGAACTAGATTTTGTTGACACAAACAGCCCCCACCCCCACCAACGCCACAAGCGAACGCCCGCACCAGCAGGCTAGGTTACTTAATCACAGTGAGAAATAGGAATTCTTAGTCAGATGAGCAGCAGCGTATGCGCTGCCCTAGCTGCACGTTTGCTCCTCCACGGATGCTGCGCCTGAAGCCTTACCAGGCCCTTACTTGGGAAGCCATCTTAACCAGGCAGCTCAACATGTCTCAGAAGCACCTCAGGAGCAGTTTTGGCTCCTCAAACGAGCCCCTCTTGTCTCTGGAGGGCGCCGGGGACCCTCCTCCTCGTAGTTTATTTGGATGCTCCATTTCTGGTCGCCCGCAAGCACCCCGCCTGTTCATGCGGCCTCAGCTCTGTGGGGTACATGGAGTGTTTCTCTTCCATCCAAGATGCATGTGTGGTCACTCATACAGCATCCACTTGTTGGGAGTTTCATTTACGAAAACTCAAAACTTGGCTAGTTGGATAGGTGGAAGACAGTTTTTGTCTTTCATGAAAGTTGAAAAAAGGCTTTTTGTGGGCACATGTTCCTATACAGCAGAGTGGTGTATGATGAAACCGTCTGTAAATGGAGTGTTTCTTCTCTTCAGGTGGTGATCAATGGAGGGGCCACATCCAGCGGTGAACAGGACAATGAAGACACCGAGCTCATGGCAATCTACACGACGGAAAACGGCATTGCGGAGAAGGTGCGCCCTTAACGTCAGCCCCCCTCACCCAGTGCTGCTCGCAGACCCACAGGACGTGGATGTCCTTCCCCAGGGCTCTGGGTGCCGTTTGGAGTGGGTGTGTTCTCTTTTTACAGTGGAAATAGAAGGGGTGATGAGGAAAGGAAATTGTAAGTTTTAATTGTCTTAATGGCAGTTGAGGTGAGACCCATAGAAACATCTTATCTAGATATTTTTGAAAGCCTCAGCTGTGGTGCCAGAGGGAAGTGGTTAAGAGTTTGAGTCTGGAGTCAGTTCTGGGTGCTAATATGCTAATGTGACTCAGATCCTAAGGGAATTACTCGAGCTCTCTGGTCATAAATTGCCTCATCTCTAAAATGGGAATAAACCTATCAACATCTATCTCAGATTGCTACAAGGCTTAAATGAAGTAATATGTTTAGTGCCTGTACATACTATATGTATAATAATAGGAAAAGAAGAGAAGTAGCTAGCTTATGTGGACTGTGAGAATGCCCTGGACAAAACTCTTTGACTAGAGCAGTGGAAATCACACACTGAGGTGGGGAGAATCTTTTTCTTTTGCCTTTTCCATCTCCTTGGCAGGTCAGTCTATATGACCCTATTTATAGAGGCCAGGAGAGAGCTGCACAGAGGCTCCAGATGCCTGAATTTCTTTTTTCCTTTGTATCTGCCACTGTACCTAACACAAATGACGTCTGATAACAAGGCATCGCCACACTGCTTTGCCAACCCTAAGACCTCTAAATTTCATGTGAGTTTTACTTGATAGACTTCTAAAGCAGATTTTATTTTGACTGAAAGTGTACTAGTTTAATCAGTTTATATAATAAGGTATTACATTCTAGAACCATTGTACTGTACTGTAGACAATGTATACTATATGATCTAGAAACAGACCACTAGAAAGTTGATATACACAAATACACTATCCAGCTTGGGTATCAATGCAGTGTTTACAGTGTAATCACGAAAATGATAACAAGGAAATCCCATTGAAGTTCAGGACAAATTCTTGTGTCTGTATGGCTTTTTTCATTTTTTTCTCCATTTTTCATTATCTTGACAAGTCTTTCTGTAATTTGATCAAAATATTACGAATTTTGTAGAGGCTAATTAGATTCATGCCAAGATGTTGAAATTCCTGGATGTTGGATTCCAAGCTGCATCTCAGAGCCCAGGGATGATAGCGGCTATGGTCAGTATGTAGACCACGCCTCGGTCCACAGTTGAGACACAGCCCGCAGGGCGCGACTCAGCTAGGGGACACCTCCTAGCCTGCTTAGGTCTCATCATCTAGGTGGCACATTCACTGACTTGCGATGCAGCCAGCTCTCAGGAACTGGGTCCTTAATCACAGTCACCAAGATTTCCAGGCTATAAGCTCCCATCATTTTGGACCTCCCCCTCCATTAGCCAGGCGATAGTGGCTGTCTTTTAAAATCAATAGCAAGGAGCATTAACACTTTGGGGCATTTTGACATCTGTAACTGTACCTTTCACTCATGGGAGTGATCTCGTGGCAGGAGAAAGTCTAGCTCATTTATTTACCTGGTTGGGTGAAAGATTTCTTTCATTGTCTAAACTTCGATACATTTGTTTTCTCAAATACTAGTGAGATAGAGTATTTTACTGGCCATTTCTCTTGTTTTATGGAATGACAAGGATAGGGAGTAGAGCTTTGGTGTATCAAATATCGTTAAAAGTCCAGGCCTTTGGTGGAATGTTTTAAGCAGCCTGTCACATTAGTCCTTTTAAAAAGGTGCTATCACTGTACTGTGTTTAAAAAAAAAAAGAAAACGAAATATTTAGGTCTTCTGCTGTCCTGAAGTGTGCAAAGAAAACTTCCCTCTGGAAAATGCTGCCCCTTGAGATATTTTCAGATGGCATAGAGAGGCTACATCTGAACACCTGACTGTGAAATAAGAATGGGACATTCTAGGAGAGAAGAGAGAACTGGGCGCGAGACATTGTCCTAGACGTTCTCCTTATTCATGTTTGTTTTCTTAATTATAGTGAGCTATTCATTGTCATATATTAACTTACTTTATTAAAAACTTGACTGTTCTGGTGTCTGTTAACACTCTTGAGCTCCTTATGGTATGCTGGTTAATGTGGTTACAGCTATAGGATACCCATTGTGGGATGTGGTCAAAGGGATTTATTCCTGAAAGGACCAGAAGGATAGTGCCTCAGATCATGAGTCTGTAACATGGCGCTGTGACCTGTGCCCAGTGTTCTGAGCATTCACCTCAGTATCGTTGGGATTCTTCCCAGACACTGTTAATGATCCTGTCCAAGCAAGTCTGTCTTCCCCGACAAGCACTACGTGCACTGCTCTGTGTCGTCGTCTTTTTTTTCCATGTCAGTATATCCTGAGATTTTCCCCATTGTTTCATTAAGATATTCCTTTCACCCTTATTAGGAATATTTTTAAGCTGCCTTGTGGCCCGTTGTGGAATCACCACAATTTGATTTAACTGGTATCCTGGTGATGGGCATTCTTTTTTGGGGAGCACTGAGGTGAGGCATGGGAATTTGAGTCTTGCTGTTATCAATGCTACAGTGAGTAACCTTGTATATAAGTCCTCTCCCATACATGTAATTGTAAGTCTAGAACAAATTCTCAGAGACAGAATTGGTAAATGAAGGAATACATGTGTTTATGATTTTATATAGATACTGCCAAATGGTCCTCTTACTGATAGTTGATTATTTTCATGAATTTTAAAACAAATTGTTTAATTGCTGATTTGGCTTTATTTGAATTCTTTTGTCCCAGTAATATCCACTGCAGCTAAATAAATATGCACATAGGTACATGCATTCAGGGCCAGCATTCAAATCCATATCACTTGGTATGTTTAATTGGCATGTGTATCTTTAGCTCCCTTTAATCTGGAACAGTTCCTCCGGTTCAAAGTCTTCTCTTACTTTGACAGTTAATTCTTAGACATTTTCTTATTTCTTTAATTCCTATATTCTGTTTTGCTCTCTTCTGACTTCTAAAAATTGTTGTTACTTCTTAATCATCTTTGTCTTTTTGTCATTTTGGGGGGAGATAACTTTGACTTTTAGCCCATCTGTTGAATTTTTTCCTATTGTGTTTTTCATTTCTAAGCCCTCTTTTACTGTTTTTACTGATAAAAGTTTTTTATTTTATTTTATTTTATTTTATTTTATTTTATTTTATTTTATTTTATTTTATTT